GGATGAGATGTTAAACTAATCCTGACTCTATGTGGTCAATAAAAATCCCATGGCACTTCTCGTAAAGAGTAGGGGTGTAACCCCGGTGTCCTTACCAAAGTCCCACTATTGGGCCTTACGATCATGGCCTCTCAATCATCCCCATCCTCTGAATTGGCTCTATCACTGTCTCTCCATCCACCAATAGCTGGTGTGTGGTGAGCGCACTGGCGCTGTTGTCCTGTCATCCAAGTGGATGCTGCACCCTCATGATTGTGACGCGCTTTGGATGTATAGCCATGCACAATAAATGCGCTATATAAAATACACATTACATTTATGCTGTACATAGGGCTACGTTTTCACAATGAGCCTAAGTTGCTTTTTAAACAAAGAAAAAAAGTATTTATTTATTAATAATTTATTCATTATTCATGTTAGATTAAATTAAATTAATCAAATTAAATTAAATCTCATTGTTAAGTTAAACCTTTATGTATAAATGTCACTATGATGATATTTCTATTTTTATTATTAAACAACATTGATTGTGAAACAATATTTTAAAAAAACGAGTGATAAGGACACGTCTATATCCACTCAACCTTCACATGATCACTAGAAGTTCACCGACTGCAACGGTCATGTGACCAAATATTGCACTGCTTACAGGAAGACTCGCGCACATGGAGACAGAAATAGCCATAGTGTGTTGTGACATAGATGTGTGTTGGCCGTGTCAATGAGAGATGCCTAAGTGAGATGTCTGAGTATTTCATTGCATTGCAATGGGGGAACCATCAGAACATTATGTTTTGTTTTATATTCCAATATGCACCAAGTCATTTTATTTGGCATTTAAACCCGTTTCTCGAAATAAATGCTTTACTCACCATTAGTCATGATTTATTAATTCCACAAGTACAAGTGTCCGATAACATTTCTTCGCTAAGGTCAAGTAGTATTTGGCAGGTCAAGCGATCTCCACGTGGTGGCTCCTGTCAGACTCCATGTAAAATGAAGCAGATTTCCCCTAATTTTTACATAGTTTTCAGTATACAGACATTCTTAAAAGTATTATTTATTTTCTTTAAAAGAGTAAGAATGTGTTTTCAATGCCAAGGACGGGCAATTCCTACTAGTAATGCGCATGTGACACAGGATATGAATACCTGAGCCTAATCTATTCCTGACTGGGTGCCGTTTACCTTAAGAATCTGGCATATATCATAATATATATCATATAACAGACACCAGTCATTTATGTTCACACGTGTAAGCATACAGATATATCCAATAAGTCAAGGGCTTACATTTGCCTTTGACATTGGTGGGGACAAACATCCCTAGAGCACATGCATTGAACTGCCCTTTTAAAAACATGAAGTAATAAAAACATTAATGATATAAAAAAACACTTTGTAATACAAATAATAATCCCGTCCCATGAGCAAAAGTCAATTTACATTATTTTACTGCAGGGCTTAGAGGAAGTATGAGTGTAGAAAAATTTATAGAGGTGTGTGATGCAATTTAATTGTTTTATCCCCATTATTATCAATCATAAACATGGAGGCCAATATTGAAACCGAATTTTGAATAATTGCACAGCCTTGGTCAATAGTAATACAGTGAACTCAAAGCAAACTTGACTTGTGCACATGTAGGTTAAAAAGGGTTGAGGGAGCTTTTTTAAGTCAATTAAATTATTGATAGGGACATTTCAGTAATTGGTGGATATTTGTGTGGACACGTCCACTTGGTCCATGCCAATTTTACGCTCTTGCAAGAAGCTTCTGAATATGTGCCAGTGAAAAGAGAGTAAGCTATGAAACTGGATAAAATTCACTTGGATATCAGTTGAGCAGATGGTGTTCTCTAGATCGGCATTCATAGTAGCAGAGGACTTTACTTCACAATGACTTTCAAGAATCAGGTACAGCAGAGTACTGGCAGAACTTTTTTGAGAGGTGTGCTTTAGGGTTTATGTTGGGTTCTACACTCAATCTACCACACGAACTCAATGCAGAGGTATAATTGGTGCAAGAAATCAGGATTCTAGTAAACAAATGTGAAACATTAAAGAGCCCATATTATACATGAAATAGGGTCATATTTTGGTTGTAAGGGTCTCAACAACAGTCAAATATGCATGCAAGGTCAAAAAACACTTTCATTATCTTGTAATCTGCATTTATTTTTACCTAATTATCCCAGCGACTCACAAATCGTTTAGTGACTAATTTGTTCCCAAACCCCTCCTCAGCGCGAAGCTAATCTGCGCTGATTGGACTGATTACAGCCTGTTGCAATTGGTCGATACTGACTGCCTTCAGTGCGAGACAGAGTGAAATGCCAAACAGCTAATTAACAATATAAAATCAGTCACAGTGCATACACGCTTTATAGTGTAAGGCGTGGATTTTGGCTGCCATTGGGTGAATGTATATACAGACGATGGGCTTGAAAATACCAACGACTAACTATTTTATAGAGCAAAAACTCCAAAAACTGGCGAGGAGATCTCCTGGCTTGTCACACTCTGCTCTTTTCACAAAGACACAAACACAAACATTTCCCTTCTCCTCGGAGGACACAGTGCACACACACGCTTCCCTCCTCCACGGACAACACCACACAAACATTACCTCCTCCTTGGATGACACAAACACACACACACACACACACACACTCTTGAACATGCTGCAACTTCCGCTAGAGGTGTATTACTAAACATGCAGCAGGTTGGATTAACCTGAACCATAAAAATCTTCAGAATGTTGTCAGAAACCTTCAGTGGAAGCAGCAGGCTTTCTAAAAAATTGTGCGACGAGGATGGGATTGAACCCACGCGTGGATTAGCAGTCCATCCCCTTAACCACTTGGCAACCTCGTCATGAATTTACCCAGTTTCCTGGTGGGGGCTGGGCTGTGGCATATATGTAAGTATTTGAAACTATTTTTGGTAAAGTTAAATCTTGCAACAACCTCCTTTAAAACGCTAAGAGGGTGAGAGTAAAACATCTTCCACGAAAGCACTTGGCTCTCTCAATTGAACGTCAAGGATGGGATTTGAACCCACGCGTGCAGAGCACAATAAGTTAGCAGTCCATCGCCTTAACCACTCGACCACCTCGTCACGTAGGCTCCCACTTTCCTGATGGAGCCTGGACTGTGGCACATAATTATTTATGCATGTTCCTGCAACCATCTTCGGTAGATGACTTTCCAATTTGCCATAACAAGCACGAAGATGGTGCGAGTAAGATACCTTCCATGAAAGCCCCGGCCTCTCCTAAACAAACGACGAGGATGGGATTCGAACCCACGCGTGCAGAGCACAATGGATTAGCAGTCCATCGCCTTAACCACTCGGCCACCTCGTCACATATGTTCCCACCTTTCTGAGGGAGGCTAGACTGTGGCACATATTTGTTTATGTATGTTTCTGCAACTAATTTCGGCCAAATGACTTTCAATTTTGCCATAACATGCTTCGAAGCACTAAGAGGGTGAGAGTAAGAAACCTTCCACGGAAGCACTGGGCTCTCTTGAATGAACAACGACGACGGGATTAAACCGCACACATGCAGAGCACAATGGATTAGCAGGCCATCGCCTTATCCACTCGGCCCCCTCCTCTCGCATACATACGCTTTCCTGATGGAGGCTGGACTGTGGCGTGTACGTATGTTTTTGCCGCTAATTTCGCTACATATTACATAAAGTTTTTGCCATAACGTCCTTTAAGACGCTAAGAGGTGCAAGTAAGAAACCTTAGACAGAAGCAGTGGCCTCTCCCAAAACAACGAGGATGGGATTTAAGCTTGCAGAGTACAGCGTACTAACCTAAGCACTCGGCCACCTCATCATGCGTAAGCACAACTTTGTGCCAGAGGAAGGTTTAACTTTTAGTTGGACGAGCAACAAGGATGGGACTCAAACCCGCGCGAGCAGCGCACCAGGGATTAGCAGTCTTTTACCCTAGCCACTCAGCCACCTCGTCTCAGGTTACCTGCTTGTTGTGCAGGAAGTTGGACTTTGTTGTTTGTTGGGGGTTCTTACGAAAAAGATGCAGCTAAAGCTTGTCATAAGGAGCTTTTCAATAGCTCGAATCAGTGCCCCATAGTTATTGTTCAACATTGACTTCAATGTGTTTCTTCCGGTTTTGTTGGAGAGAAACTAGACAAAATGCCTGAGTCTAAAAACGGCAGCATAGCTGACCCTGGATTTGTGTGCAAATATGATTTCAGTGCCCTTGCATGCTTCATTATTTTACCCCAATCCCTGCACAGCCCAGTAAATGCATCCCAATCTCAGCCATTTTCTCGGCCGTTCAGCGTTGTGACTCCGCCCCCTTTACCACATTACCCACAGTTCTCTTCTCCCAGATTCACAAAAGTAGTGTAAACTTTTCTTTAAGTTAAAATGAAACAGTGTATAAGTAATTCTTTTTAGGCATTTCAATAACCTGTTCTACTGACACAGCATGCACTCATTGGTGCCAGAAGGCTGATGGCTAGCAGTTTAAAGTTTGATACCACCTTGTCGTTTCATGTCCAGATTGGTAGATATAAGAGTTCATTGTTGAGATTGGTATTCTTTCGCAGAGGCAATATCATAGCCTATGAGGCCTAGCCGAGGTGTGATCATTGCTGGTTGAAAACTTTACCCAATACCCCGCCGAGATGGCTTGAAATACAGTCAGCTCTGGCAATTTTTGACAGCCTCCTAGAAGGCTCAATGTTCTGTTCAAAAGAATAGCTGAGTGTCTGGATCTTGAACATGCTGCAATTTGCGCCAGAGTTGTTTCACTAAACATGCAGCAGGTTGGATTCACCTGAACCATGACAATCTTCAGAATGTTGTCAGAAAACTTCAGCGGAAGCACCAGGCTCTCTGAAAAATTGAACGACGAGGATGGGATTGAACCCACGCGTGGATTAGCAGTCCATCCCCTTAACCGCTTGGCAACCTCGTCATGAATTTACCCAGTTTCCTGGTGGGGGCTGTGCTGTGGCATGTATGTAAGTATTTGCAACTATTTTTGGTAAATATGAAATTAAATCTTGCAACAACCTCCTTCAAAACGCTAAGAGGGTGAGAGTAAAACATCTTCCACGAAAGCACTTGGCTCTCTCAATTGAACGTCAAGGATGGGATTTGAACCCACGCGTGCAGAGCACAATAAGTTAGCAGTCCATCGCCTTAACCACTCGACCACCTCGTCACGTAGGCTCCCACTTTCCTGATGGAGCCTGGACTGTGGCACATAATTATTTATGTATGTTCCTGCAACCATCTTCGGTAGATGACTTTCCAATTTGCCATAACAAGCACGAAGATGGTGCGAGTAAGATACCTCAGTGCCCCATAGTTATTGTTCAACATTGACTTCAATGTGTTTCTTCCGGTTTTGTTGGAGAGAAACTAGACAAAATGCCTGAGTCTAAAAACGGCAGCATAGCTGACCCTGGATTTGTGTGCAAATATGATTTCAGTGCCCTTGCATGCTTCATTATTTTACCCCAATCCCTGCACAGCCCAGTAAATGCATCCCAATCTCAGCCATTTTCTCGGCCGTTCAGCGTTGTGACTCCGCCCCCTTTACCACATTACCCACAGTTCTCTTCTCCCAGATTCACAAAAGTAGTGTAAACTTTTCTTTAAGTTAAAATGAAACAGTGTATAAGTAATTCTTTTTAGGCATTTCAATAACCTGTTCTACTGACACAGCATGCACTCATTGGTGCCAGAAGGCTGATGGCTAGCAGTTTAAAGTTTGATACCACCTTGTCGTTTCATGTCCAGATTGGTAGATATAAGAGTTCATTGTTGAGATTGGTATTCTTTCGCAGAGGCAATATCATAGCCTATGAGGCCTAGCCGAGGCGTGATCATTGCTGGTTGAAAACTTTACCCAATACCCCGCCGAGATGGCTTGAAATACAGTCAGCTCTGGCAATTTTTGACAGCCTCCTAGAAGGCTCAATGTTCTGTTCAAAAGAATAGCTGAGTGTCTGGATCTTGAACATGCTGCAATTTGCGCCAGAGTTGTTTCACTAAACATGCAGCAGGTTGGATTCACCTGAACCATGACAATCTTCAGAATGTTGTCAGAAAACTTCAGCGGAAGCACCAGGCTCTCTGAAAAATTGAACGACGAGGATGGGATTGAACCCACGCGTGGATTAGCAGTCCATCCCCTTAACCGCTTGGCAACCTCGTCATGAATTTACCCAGTTTCCTGGTGGGGGCTGTGCTGTGGCATGTATGTAAGTATTTGCAACTATTTTTGGTAAATATGAAATTAAATCTTGCAACAACCTCCTTCAAAACGCTAAGAGGGTGAGAGTAAAACATCTTCCACGAAAGCACTTGGCTCTCTCAATTGAACGTCAAGGATGGGATTTGAACCCACGCGTGCAGAGCACAATAAGTTAGCAGTCCATCGCCTTAACCACTCGACCACCTCGTCACGTAGGCTCCCACTTTCCTGATGGAGCCTGGACTGTGGCACATAATTATTTATGTATGTTCCTGCAACCATCTTCGGTAGATGACTTTCCAATTTGCCATAACAAGCACGAAGATGGTGCGAGTAAGATACCTTCCATGAAAGCCCCGGCCTCTCCTAAACAAACGACGAGGATGGGATTCGAACCCACGCGTGCAGAGCACAATGGATTAGCAGTCCATCGCCTTAACCACTCGGCCACCTCGTCACATATGTTCCCACCTTTCTGAGGGAGGCTAGACTGTGGCACATATTTGTTTATGTATGTTTCTGCAACTAATTTCGGCCAAATGACTTTCAATTTTGCCATAACATGCTTCGAAGCACTAAGAGGGTGAGAGTAAGAAACCTTCCACGGAAGCACTGGGCTCTCTTGAATGAACAACGACGACGGGATTAAACCGCACACATGCAGAGCACAATGGATTAGCAGGCCATCGCCTTATCCACTCGGCCCCCTCCTCTCGCATACATGCGCTTTCCTGATGGAGGCTGGACTGTGGCGTGTACGTATGTTTTTGCCGCTAATTTCGCTACATATTACATAAAGTTTTTGCCATAACGTCCTTTAAGACGCTAAGAGGTGCAAGTAAGAAACCTTAGACAGAAGCAGTGGCCTCTCCCAAAACAACGAGGATGGGATTTAAGCTTGCAGAGTACAGCGTACTAACCTAAGCACTCGGCCACCTCATCATGCGTAAGCACAACTTTGTGCCAGAGGAAGGTTTAACTTTTAGTTGGACGAGCAACAAGGATGGGACTCAAACCCGCGCGAGCAGCGCACCAGGGATTAGCAGTCTTTTACCCTAGCCACTCAGCCACCTCGTCTCAGGTTACCTGCTTGTTGTGCAGGAAGTTGGACTTTGTTGTTTCTTGGGGGTTCTTACGAAAAAGATGCAGCTAAAGCTTGTCATAAGGAGCTTTTCAATAGCTCGAATCAGTGCCCCATAGTTATTGTTCAACATTGACTTCAATGTGTTTCTTCCGGTTTTGTTGGAGAGAAACTAGACAAAATGCCTGAGTCTAAAAACGGCAGCATAGCTGACCCTGGATTTGTGTGCAAATATGATTTCAGTGCCCTTGCATGCTTCATTATTTTACCCCAATCCCTGCACAGCCCAGTAAATGCATCCCAATCTCAGCCATTTTCTCGGCCGTTCAGCGTTGTGACTCCGCCCCCTTTACCACATTACCCACAGTTCTCTTCTCCCAGATTCACAAAAGTAGTGTAAACTTTTCTTTAAGTTAAAATGAAACAGTGTATAAGTAATTCTTTTTAGGCATTTCAATAACCTGTTCTACTGACACAGCATGCACTCATTGGTGCCAGAAGGCTGATGGCTAGCAGTTTAAAGTTTGATACCACCTTGTCGTTTCATGTCCAGATTGGTAGATATAAGAGTTCATTGTTGAGATTGGTATTCTTTCGCAGAGGCAATATCATAGCCTATGAGGCCTAGCCGAGGCGTGATCATTGCTGGTTGAAAACTTTACCCAATACCCCGCCGAGATGGCTTGAAATACAGTCAGCTCTGGCAATTTTTGACAGCCTCCTAGAAGGCTCAATGTTCTGTTCAAAAGAATAGCTGAGTGTCTGGATCTTGAACATGCTGCAATTTGCGCCAGAGTTGTTTCACTAAACATGCAGCAGGTTGGATTCACCTGAACCATGACAATCTTCAGAATGTTGTCAGAAAACTTCAGCGGAAGCACCAGGCTCTCTGAAAAATTGAACGACGAGGATGGGATTGAACCCACGCGTGGATTAGCAGTCCATCCCCTTAACCGCTTGGCAACCTCGTCATGAATTTACCCAGTTTCCTGGTGGGGGCTGTGCTGTGGCATGTATGTAAGTATTTGCAACTATTTTTGGTAAATATGAAATTAAATCTTGCAACAACCTCCTTCAAAACGCTAAGAGGGTGAGAGTAAAACATCTTCCACGAAAGCACTTGGCTCTCTCAATTGAACGTCAAGGATGGGATTTGAACCCACGCGTGCAGAGCACAATAAGTTAGCAGTCCATCGCCTTAACCACTCGACCACCTCGTCACGTAGGCTCCCACTTTCCTGATGGAGCCTGGACTGTGGCACATAATTATTTATGTATGTTCCTGCAACCATCTGCGGTAGATGACTTTCCAATTTGCCATAACAAGCACGAAGATGGTGCGAGTAAGATACCTTCCATGAAAGCCCCGGCCTCTCCTAAACAAACGACGAGGATGGGATTCGAACCCACGCGTGCAGAGCACAATGGATTAGCAGTCCATCGCCTTAACCACTCGGCCACCTCGTCACATATGTTCCCACTTTTCTGAGGGAGGCTAGACTGTGGCACATATTTGTTTATGTATGTTTCTGCAACTAATTTCAGCCAAATGACTTTCAATTTTGCCATAACATGCTTCGAAGCACTAAGAGGGTGAGAGTAAGAAACCTTCCACGGAAGCACTGGGCTCTCTTGAATGAACAACGACGACGGGATTAAACCGCACACATGCAGAGCACAATGGATTAGCAGGCAATCGCCTTATCCACTCGGCCCCCTCCTCTCGCATACATGCGCTTTCCTGATGGAGGCTGGACTGTGGCGTGTACGTATGTTTTTGCCGCTAATTTCGCTACATATTACATAAAGTTTTTGCCATAACGTCCTTTAAGACGCTAAGAGGTGCAAGTAAGAAACCTTAGACAGAAGCAGTGGCCTCTCCCAAAACAACGAGGATGGGATTTAAGCTTGCAGAGTACAGCGTACTAACCTAAGCACTCGGCCACCTCATCATGCGTAAGCACAACTTTGTGCCAGAGGAAGGTTTAACTTTTAGTTGGACGAGCAACAAGGATGGGACTCAAACCCGCGCGAGCAGCGCACCAGGGATTAGCAGTCTTTTACCCTAGCCACTCAGCCACCTCGTCTCAGGTTACCTGCTTGTTGTGCAGGAAGTTGGACTTTGTTGTTTGTTGGGGGTTCTTACGAAAAAGATGCAGCTAAAGCTTGTCATAAGGAGCTTTTCAATAGCTCGAATCAGTGCCCCATAGTTATTGTTCAACATTGACTTCAATGTGTTTCTTCCGGTTTTGTTGGAGAGAAACTAGACAAAATGCCTGAGTCTAAAAACGGCAGCATAGCTGACCCTGGATTTGTGTGCAAATATGATTTCAGTGCCCTTGCATGCTTCATTATTTTACCCCAATCCCTGCACAGCCCAGTAAATGCATCCCAATCTCAGCCATTTTCTCGGCCGTTCAGCGTTGTGACTCCGCCCCCTTTACCACATTACCCACAGTTCTCTTCTCCCAGATTCACAAAAGTAGTGTAAACTTTTCTTTAAGTTAAAATGAAACAGTGTATAAGTAATTCTTTTTAGGCATTTCAATAACCTGTTCAACTGACACAGCATGCACTCATTGGTGCCAGAAGGCTGATGGCTAGCAGTTTAAAGTTTGATACCACCTTGTCGTTTCATGTCCAGATTGGTAGATATAAGAGTTCATTGTTGAGATTGGTATTCTTTCGCAGAGGCAATATCATAGTCTATGAGGCCTAGCCGAGGCGTGATCATTGCTGGTTGAAAACTTTACCCAATACCCCGCCGAGATGGCTTGAAATACAGTCAGCTCTGGCAATTTTTGACAGCCTCCTAGAAGGCTCAATGTTCTGTTCAAAAGAATAGCTGAGTGTCTGGATCTTGAACATGCTGCGATTTGCGCCAGAGTTGTTTCACTAAACATGCAGCAGGTTGGATTCACCTGAACCATGACAATCTTCAGAATGTTGTCAGAAAACTTCAGCGGAAGCACCAGGCTCTCTGAAAAATTGAACGACGAGGATGGGATTGAACCCACGCGTGGATTAGCAGTCCATCCCCTTAACCGCTTGGCAACCTCGTCATGAATTTACCCAGTTTCCTGGTGGGGGCTGTGCTGTGGCATGTATGTAAGTATTTGCAACTATTTTTGGTAAATATGAAATTAAATCTTGCAACAACCTCCTTCAAAACGCTAAGAGGGTGAGAGTAAAACATCTTCCACGAAAGCACTTGGCTCTCTCAATTGAACGTCAAGGATGGGATTTGAACCCACGCGTGCAGAGCACAATAAGTTAGCAGTCCATCGCCTTAACCACTCGACCACCTCGTCACGTAGGCTCCCACTTTCCTGATGGAGCCTGGACTGTGGCACATAATTATTTATGTATGTTCCTGCAACCATCTTCGGTAGATGACTTTCCAATTTGCCATAACAAGCACGAAGATGGTGCGAGTAAGATACCTTCCATGAAAGCCCCGGCCTCTCCTAAACAAACGACGAGGATGGGATTCGAACCCACGCGTGCAGAGCACAATGGATTAGCAGTCCATCGCCTTAACCACTCAGCCACCTCGTCACATATGTTCCCACCTTTCTGAGGGAGGCTAGACTGTGGCACATATCTGTTTATGTATGTTTCTGCAACTAATTTCGGCCAAATGACTTTCAATTTTGCCATAACATGCTTCGAAGCACTAAGAGGGTGAGAGTAAGAAACCTTCCACGGAAGCACTGGGCTCTCTTGAATGAACAACGACGACGGGATTAAACCGCACACATGCAGAGCACAATGGATTAGCAGGCCATCGCCTTATCCACTCGGCCCCCTCCTCTCGCATACATGCGCTTTCCTGATGGAGGCTGGACTGTGGCGTGTACGTATGTTTTTGCCGCTAATTTCGCTACATATTACATAAAGTTTTTGCCATAACGTCCTTTAAGACGCTAAGAGGTGCAAGTAAGAAACCTTAGACAGAAGCAGTGGCCTCTCCCAAAACAACGAGGATGGGATTTAAGCTTGCAGAGTACAGCGTACTAACCTAAGCACTCGGCCACCTCATCATGCGTAAGCACAACTTTGTGCCAGAGGAAGGTTTAACTTTTAGTTGGACGAGCAACAAGGATGGGACTCAAACCCGCGCGAGCAGCACACCAGGGATTAGCAGTCTTTTACCCTAGCCACTCAGCCACCTCGTCTCAGGTTACCTGCTTGTTGTGCAGGAAGTTGGACTTTGTTGTTTCTTGGGGGTTCTTACGAAAAAGATGCAGCTAAAGCTTGTCATAAGGAGCTTTTCAATAGCTCGAATCAGTGCCCCATAGTTATTGTTCAACATTGACTTCAATGTGTTTCTTCCGGTTTTGTTGGAGAGAAACTAGACAAAATGCCTGAGTCTAAAAACGGCAGCATAGCTGACCCTGGATTTGTGTGCAAATATGATTTCAGTGCCCTTGCATGCTTCATTATTTTACCCCAATCCCTGCACAGCCCAGTAAATGCATCCCAATCTCAGCCATTTTCTCGGCCGTTCAGCGTTGTGACTCCGCCCCCTTTACCACATTACCCACAGTTCTCTTCTCCCAGATTCACAAAAGTAGTGTAAACTTTTCTTTAAGTTAAAATGAAACAGTGTATAAGTAATTCTTTTTAGGCATTTCAATAACCTGTTCTACTCACACAGCATGCACTCATTGGTGCCAGAAGGCTGATGGCTAGCAGTTTAAAGTTTGATACCACCTTGTCGTTTCATGTCCAGATTGGTAGATATAAGAGTTCATTGTTGAGATTGGTATTCTTTCGCAGAGGCAATATCATAGCCTATGAGGCCTAGCCGAGGTGTGATCATTGCTGGTTGAAACCTTTACCCAATACCCCGCCGAGATGGCTTGAAATACAGTCAGCTCTGGCAGTTTTTGACAGCCTCCTAGAAGGCTCAATGTTCTGTTCAAAAGAATAGCTGAGTGTCTGGATCTTGAACATGCTGCAATTTGCACCACAGTTGTTTCACTAAACATGCAGCAGGTTGGATTCACCTGAACCATGACAATCTTCAGAATGTTGTCAGAAAACTTCAGCGGAAGCACCAGGCTCTCTGAAAAATTGAACGACGAGGATGGGATTGAACCCACGCGTGGATTAGCAGTCCATCCCCTTAACCGCTTGGCAACCTCGTCATGAATTTACCCAGTTTCCTGGTGGGGGCTGTGCTGTGGCATGTATGTAAGTATTTGCAACTATTTTTGGTAAATATGAAATTAAATCTTGCAACAACCTCCTTCAAAACGCTAAGAGGGTGAGAGTAAAACATCTTCCACGAAAGCACTTGGCTCTCTCAATTGAACGTCAAGGATGGGATTTGAACCCACGCGTGCAGAGCACAATAAGTTAGCAGTCCATCGCCTTAACCACTCGACCACCTCGTCACGTAGGCTCCCACTTTCCTGATGGAGCCTGGACTGTGGCACATAATTATTTATGTATGTTCCTGCAACCATCTTCGGTAGATGACTTTCCAATTTGCCATAACAAGCACGAAGATGGTGCGAGTAAGATACCTTCCATGAAAGCCCCGGCCTCTCCTAAACAAACGACGAGGATGGGATTCGAACCCACGCGTGCAGAGCACAATGGATTAGCAGTCCATCGCCTTAACCACTCGGCCACCTCGTCACATATGTTCCCACCTTTCTGAGGGAGGCTAGACTGTGGCACATATTTGTTTATGTATGTTTCTGCAACTAATTTCGGCCAAATGACTTTCAATTTTGCCATAACATGCTTCGAAGCACTAAGAGGGTGAGAGTAAGAAACCTTCCACGGAAGCACTGGGCTCTCTTGAATGAACAACGACGACGGGATTAAACCGCACACATGCAGAGCACAATGGATTAGCAGGCCATCGCCTTATCCACTCGGCCCCCTCCTCTCGCATACATGCGCTTTCCTGATGGAGGCTGGACTGTGGCGTGTACGTATGTTTTTGCCGCTAATTTCGCTACATATTACATAAAGTTTTTGCCATAACGTCCTTTAAGACGCTAAGAGGTGCAAGTAAGAAACCTTAGACAGAAGCAGTGGCCTCTCCCAAAACAACGAGGATGGGATTTAAGCTTGCAGAGTACAGCGTACTAACCTAAGCACTCGGCCACCTCATCATGCGTAAGCACAACTTTGTGCCAGAGGAAGGTTTAACTTTTAGTTGGACGAGCAACAAGGATGGGACTCAAACCCGCGCGAGCAGCGCACCAGGGATTAGCAGTCTTTTACCCTAGCCACTCAGCCACCTCGTCTCAGGTTACCTGCTTGTTGTGCAGGAAGTTGGACTTTGTTGTTTCTTGGGGGTTCTTACGAAAAAGATGCAGCTAAAGCTTGTCATAAGGAGCTTTTCAATAGCTCGAATCAGTGCCCCATAGTTATTGTTCAACATTGACTTCAATGTGTTTCTTCCGGTTTTGTTGGAGAGAAACTAGACAAAATGCCTGAGTCTAAAAACGGCAGCATAGCTGACCCTGGATTTGTGTGCAAATATGATTTCAGTGCCCTTGCATGCTTCATTATTTTACCCCAATCCCTGCACAGCCCAGTAAATGCATCCCAATCTCAGCCATTTTCTCGGCCGTTCAGCGTTGTGACTCCGCCCCCTTTACCACATTACCCACAGTTCTCTTCTCCCAGATTCACAAAAGTAGTGTAAACTTTTCTTTAAGTTAAAATGAAACAGTGTATAAGTAATTCTTTTTAGGCATTTCAATAACCTGTTCTACTGACACAGCATGCACTCATTGGTGCCAGAAGGCTGATGGCTAGCAGTTTAAAGTTTGATACCACCTTGTCGTTTCATGTCCAGATTGGTAGATATAAGAGTTCATTGTTGAGATTGGTATTCTTTCGCAGAGGCAATATCATAGCCTATGAGGCCTAGCCGAGGCGTGATCATTGCTGGTTGAAAACTTTACCCAATACCCCGCCGAGATGGCTTGAAATACAGTCAGCTCTGGCAATTTTTGACAGCCTCCTAGAAGGCTCAATGTTCTGTTCAAAAGAATAGCTGAGTGTCTGGATCTTGAACATGCTGCAATTTGCGCCAGAGTTGTTTCACTAAACATGCAGCAGGTTGGATTCACCTGAACCATGACAATCTTCAGAATGTTGTCAGAAAACTTCAGCGGAAGCACCAGGCTCTCTGAAAAATTGAACGACGAGGATGGGATTGAACCCACGCGTGGATTAGCAGTCCATCCCCTTAACCGCTTGGCAACCTCGTCATGAATTTACCCAGTTTCCTGGTGGGGGCTGTGCTGTGGCATGTATGTAAGTATTTGCAACTATTTTTGGTAAATATGAAATTAAATCTTGCAACAACCTCCTTCAAAACGCTAAGAGGGTGAGAGTAAAACATCTTCCACGAAAGCACTTGGCTCTCTCAATTGAACGTCAAGGATGGGATTTGAACCCACGCGTGCAGAGCACAATAAGTTAGCAGTCCATCGCCTTAACCACTCGACCACCTCGTCACGTAGGCTCCCACTTTCCTGATGGAGCCTGGACTGTGGCACATAATTATTTATGTAT